TGTGTTACTGCCGCCAGGCGGACTGGTGTGTTACTGCCGCCAGGCTGACTGCTGTGTTACTGCCGCCAGGCTGACTGCTGTGTTACTGCCGCCAGATTGACTGCTGTGTTACTGCCGCCAGGCTGACTGCTGTGTTACTGCCGCCAGGCTGACTGCTGTGTTACTGCCGCCACACAGACTGCTGTGTTACTACCGCCAGGCTGACTGCTGTGTTACTACCGCCAGGCTGATTGCTGTGTTACTGCCGCCAGGCTGACTGCTGTGTTACTGCTGATTGCTGTGTTACTGCTGACTGCTGTGTTACTGCCGCCAGACTGACTGCTGTGTTACTGCTGGCTGCTGTGTTACTGCTCCAGTGCTGACTGGTGTGTTACTGCCGCCAGGCTAAGTGCTGTGTTACTGGTAATTGCTGTGTTGCTGCTGACTGTTGTGTTACTGCCGCTAGGCTGGCTATTGTATTACTGCCGCCAGGCTGACTGTGTTACTGCCGCCAGGCTGATTGCTGTGTTACTGCCGCCGGGCTGACTGCTGTGTTACTGCCGCCAGGCTGCTGTGTTACGGCTGACTGCTGTGTTAGTGCCGCCAGGCTGACTGCTGTGTTACTGCCGCCAGGCTGACTGCTGTGTTAATGCCGCCAGGCTGACTGCTGTGTTATTGCCGCCAGGCTGATTGCTGTGTTACTGCAGACTGTAGTGTTAATGGCGCCAGGCTGACTGTTGTGTTACTGCCGCCAGGCTGACTGCTGTGTTACTGTCGCCAGGCTATTCTGTTACTGCCGCCAGGCTGACTGCTGTGTTACTGCCGCCAGGCTGACTGTTATGTTACTGCCGCCAGGCTGACTGTTGTGTTACTGCCGCTAGGCTGACTGCTGTGTTACTGTCGCCAGGCTGACTATTCTATTACTGCCGCCAGGCTGACTGTTGTGTTACTGCCGCCAGGCTGACTGCTGTGTTACTGCTGACTGCTGTGTTACTGCCGCCGGGCTGACTGCTGTGTTACTGCCGCCAGGCTGACTGTTGTGTTACTGCCGCCAGGCTGACTGCTGTGTTACTGTCCCCAGCCTGACTATTCTGTTACTGCCGCCAGGCTGACTGCTGTGTTACTGCCGCCAGGCTGACTTGTGTTACTGCCGCCAGGCTGACTGTTGTGTTACTGCCGCCAGGCTGACTGTTGTGTTACTGCCGCCAGGCTGACTGCTGTGTTACTGCCGCCAGGCTGACTGCTGTATTACTGCCGCCAGGCTGACTGCTGTGTTACTGCCGCCAGGCTGATTGGTGTGTTACGGCTGACTGCGGTCACCACCAGGCTGACCACGGTGTTATTACCACCAGGCTGACTACGGTGTTGTTACCACCAGGCTGACTACGGTGTTATTACCACCAGGCTGACTACTGTGTTACCACCAGGCTGACTACAGTGTTATTACCACCAGGCTGACTACGGTGTTATTACCACCAGGCTGACTACAGTGTTATTACCACCAGGCTGACTACAGTGTTATTACCACCGGCTGATTTACAGTGTTATTACCACCAGGCTGACTACTGTGTTATTACCACCAGGCTGACTACGGTGTTATTACCACCAGGCTGACTACGGTGTTATTACCACCAGGCTGACTACGGTGTTATTACCACCAGGCTGACTACAATGTTATTACCACCAGGCTGACTACGGTGTTATTACCACCAGGCTGACTACAGTGTTATTACCACCCGGCTGACTACGGAGTTATTACCACCAGGCTGACTACTGTGTTATTACCACCAGGCTGACTACAGTTATTACCACCAGGCTGACTACAGTGTTATTACCACCAGGCTGACTACAGTGTTATTACCACCAGGCTGACTACGGTTTTATTAACACCAGGCTGACTACGGTGTTATTACCACCTGGCTGACTACGGTGTTATTACCACCAGGCTGACTACGGTGTTACCACCAGGCTGACTACAGTGTTATTACCACCAGGCTGACTACGGTGTTATTACCACCAGGCTGACTACAGTGTTATTACCACCTGGCTGACTACGGTGTTATTACCACCAGGCTGACTACGGTGTTACCACCAGGCTGACTACAGTGTTATTACCACCAGGCTGACTACAGTGTTATTACCACCAGGCCGACTACTGTGTTATTACCACCAGGCTGACTACAGTGTTATTACCACCAGGCTGACTACAGTGTTATTACCACCAGGCTGACTACAGTGTTATTACCACCAGGCTGACTACGGTGTTATTACCACCAGGCTGACTACAGTGTTATTACCACCAGGCTGACTACGGTGTTACCACCAGGCTGACTCCGGTGTTATTACCACCCGGCTCACGTCAGCGATATATTTTAGGATTTCTTTCAATCAATGATATGATATGTATTAACTTGTTTTTTTCATTGGTTTATATTAAAACAAATGTTGCAGTGGGTCACGGGAGGTCAGAGGGCATACGAGGCTACGTTGAGTGCGTTGATGACTACGTTTAAAGATGTACTGCATCACTGTGATGACCTGGTGCCACCCACCCCAGCCTACCTTGCTTTATTGTAGGTCACTCAATGGGGAAGTCTTTCTTACTACTGTTTGTCCACCATCTTGCACCCCCTCCTGGTTACACCATCTCATTCATGTATTATTTTATATATATTATTTAAAATTATATAATATATATATATATATATATAATATATATATTATATATATATATAGTACACACACAAAACACACACACTATATCCCCCGTCATAGAAATGTTTTGGTGTGGGCAGGAATGGGAAGGGGGATTTGTTTGTACAATATAGTTAAGGATCCTTTTTGCACAAGAAAGTCAGGGATCCTTCTTGTACAAGAAAGTCAGGGATCCTTCTTGTACAAGAAAGTCAGGGATCCTTCCTGTACAAGAAAGTCAGGGATCCTTCTTGTACAAGAAAGTCAGGGATCCTTCTTGTACAAGAAAGTCAGGGATCCTTCTTGTACAAGAAAGTCACTGATCCTTCTTGTACAAGAAAGTCAGGGATCCTTCTTGCACATGAAAGGGTTCCTTCTTGTACAAGAAAGTTAGGGATCCTTCTTGTACAAGAAAGTTAGGGATCCTTCTTGTACAAGAAAGTTTTGGATCCTTCTTGTATAAGAAAGTCAGGGATCCTTTTTTGTATAAGAAAGTCAGGGATCCTTCTTGTACAAGAAAGTCAGGGATCCTTCTTGTACAAGAAAGTCAGGGATCCTTCTTGTACAAGAAAGTCAGGGATCCTTCTTGTACAAGAAAGTCAGGGATCCTTCTTGTATAAGAAAGTCAGGGATCCTTATTGTATAAGAAAGTCAGAGATCCTTCTTGTACAAGAAAGTCAGAGATCCTTCTTGTACAAGAAAGTCAGAGATCCTTCTTGTACAAGAAAGTCAGAGATCCTTCTTCTACAAGAAAGTCAGGGATCCCTTTTTTGTACAAGAAAGTCAGGGATCCTTCTTGTACAAGAAAGTCAGGGATCCTTCTTGTACAAGAAAGTCAGGGATCCTTCTTGTACAAGAAAGTCAGGGATCCTTCTTGTACAAGAAAGTCAGGGATCCTTCTTGTACAAAAAGTCAGGGGTCCTTCTGCACAAAAAAGTCAGGGATCCTTCATGCACAAGAAAGTCGGGGATCCCACTTGCACAAGAAAGTCGGGGATCCTACTTGCACAAGAAAGTCAGGGATCCTTCTTGTACAAGAAATTCGGGGATCCCTTTTTGCACATGAAAGTCAGGGGTTCTTCTTGCACAAAAAAATCAGGGATCCTTCTTGCACAAAAAAATCAGGGATCCTTCTTGTACAAGAAAGGCAGGGAAAGCATGTTCTTTGTCAAATATAAGAATGTCATTTAAAATTGTACCATACTGTGCTATATAAGAATTAGCTTGGATGTACCATTGTGGAGCATTCTGAGGTTGAAGACGCTATAAAAATTTAAAGCTTCAAGGTTCCGTTTCTTCAGGGCCCTCAAGAAAGGTTCCTTGATGCTGGTGAGGGGCCCCTTGAGCTAGGGAATTTGGATCTGTGCTCCAGTTCCCTGAATGAGCCTGAATACCTTCCACATCCCCCCCCCCGACTGGCACTGTATAATCCTACGGGTTTAGCGCTTCTCCCTTGATTAAAATAATAATAATGCTTCAGGATGAAATCCTATTTTCTTCCAGAGATCATTTGATTATTTTCTTCCCTTTGGGAAGATTATTTTTCTTATTGGGAAGATTATTTTCTTCCCTTTAGGGGGATATTTTTCATTTAAAATACGTGTATTTGGTATACTCAGAATCTTAGAAACCCCTAGTATAAATAAGAATTAGGTTCTACAGTAGCCAAGAACCCCAGTAGAAATAAGTCACTTTGGCTTTTTCTAAATAAACTTACTTAAGACAAGCATATTTGACACTGGCCCTTTTCATTTATAAATACTGGAATAAAAAATAGTACGGTACTTTAATTCTTTCAAGATGCCTGATGGAGTTTCATTATTTTCAGATTGTTTTATTATGTCAAATTCATTTCAAAAGGCATAGGTATTATTTTCCATAACTCAAGAGTTGTCAGTAAACACACGCTTGTGCTTGTGATACATAATTATATTTTTTAAATAAGTTATAAAACAACAAATACGTATGACTACTGCAAACTGAGCTTCTATGGTGTGGCAGAATAAAGTTACTGGTTGCAGTACATCCACTCTGTTGCTCATAGCATTCCAAACCTTTGCCACTTGTGTTTTAACAACAGAAAACAGCAGATTATCATTTATTAAAAAAATATTAGTTCCTAAGAGCTCAGTTTTTAAATAGAGATGTTTGCAATTCAGAAGTTTGTAAGTTATGGATCTGAATATCTTTCATCCTGTATGATATTTAAATATAAATAGTTTCCCCCCTGGGCAGAGACTCAATGAATGTTTTCAATACCAGCAAGGCAAACTGAAAGAAATCATCTGTTTTCTTACATGGAATTTAATATTTGTGTTGGCATTGCAGGGTGGGATGATTGCCATCAAGTGTGCAATGGCACGGCCACAATTCTTTACTGGTGTGGTGCTCATGGGTCCTCTCATCAAAGTCAACTTCTGCTGAAGCCACATGCGCCTAAGATCTTCCCCCAGCAAAAATCGTGTCTCGTATTTTACCTTACCTCACTGTAAGTACATGCATCATTATGGTGATCAAAAAATTACTGTATTAGCACTAACTTACATTATGCAATAATAACATCTCTTGTATTCAAAGCTCTGTTATTCAGAAGTCTCTCAGATTCTGAAAACAAATATTTTGTATTTGGAACAATTAAAAATTTAATTTTTTTTTGAAAAAAGAGAAAATTCTAGATATTAAATGGCTAATTTTCAGTTTGGATTTTTCTGAATAAAAGGGGAAAAAAAACTTCTAAACCTTGAATTTATAATTATCTCTAAAATTCTGAATACTTTAAGGATGTGTATGTATGTGTACCCTACATAATACCTGTATGTGACAGTAGTTCATGCATAACCTGTTTTGGTACACTTCAGGTAGCTAAGCTGAAATGAACCATATTACCCCTGATGAGGACATGTGACTAGCTAAAAAGGGATCCTCTCAGGTAGGGACTTGATTTTGGGCAACAACATCTTCTTAAACTAAAGTGCTGTGTAATGAAGATAATGCCATACACTTTTTTAGGTTATCATTTAAAGAGGATACCAAACATGTGACCTTAAGCATCATTTAAAAAAATCAAA